GCGGCCATTTCCCCCCATTCCATGTGGTCCGCGGCCATTTCCCCCCGTTCCACGTGGTTCGCGGCCATTTTTCCACCCATTCCACGTGGTCCACGGCCCTTTTTTCCGCTCTGCCGCGTGGTCCGCAGCCATTTTTCCACCCCTGACGCGTGGTCCACGGACGCTGGAACGGATTAACGGTAATTACATTGAATCTTATGGGAAAATTTACTTCGACTTGCGACCAACTCGACTTGCGATCAGAGTCACGGAACGGATTAAGTTCGTAAGTAGAGGTACCACTGTACTATAGTATCTGTGTTAAATTCCTGAGAGCTATTACTATCAGTCATGAAATTTGGTAATCTGCAAAATTGTGTTCTAAATCATTGTTATTTTGTTACGTTATGCTGTTTGCCTGTGCAGATCTGTTAACATTAAATCATACTTCCATATATTAGTAAAGTGAGGTCCTCCAAATGGTTTAGACTACAATGCCAAGATGCGTATAATGCTAAACACCTCATATAACGCTAAACAAATCACTTATTTTTAGGAAGCTTTTCCTCTGAAAACAGAATCCCTTGGGATCATAGATATGGAGGTACAGTATATACTGGTGTATTCTTAACTAAATTACAGAAAAAAGAACTTGAATATGTTCATGCGCAGATACAGCACACCTGCACATCTGCATATCTGTGTGCTATTTCTTATCAGGCAAAATGTTCAAAGAGGGGGATGGAATTTAAAGATGGTATACATTTTTTAAATTATAGTGAGATGAGAATGAAAAACATTTGACAGATGATCATGATCAACATCTATTATGAGTCTTTGGTAGTTACATAGGCCAGATGAGAGAGAGAGTGTGTGAGTGGATGGATGGATGGATGGATGGATGGATGGATGGATGGATGGATGGATGGATGGATGGATGGATATCGATCCTGGGCATGACATGCAGATTCTAATTCTATGCATCACAGTGTAGAACAAAAATACCCAAATCATTACCCGCATCTTCATAATACAGTGGTGTCAGTTTGTCTGTCTGGATATCTTCCAAAACAAGTCTTTGCCAATTTAGGTATCTTGCCAAATTATAGACTGCCTTCATATATGGCTGCATGAATCACAATTGTCCAGGTTTACAGAATATACTAATCAAAATTATCCAAACCATGTTGTAGTATAGCACAATGTGTGAGCCCAGGATGCATTAAAACACTGAAGTACACTAAATTTAGCTTTGCAAGAAGTTTGCCATGAAACAAGGAATACAGTAATTGATTATATCAAGGAAGGAATACATGAACTCAAGGGATGCTTGCTAATAATAAAAGTTCAGTTAATAGTAAAATCAACAATGAATCTTAACTATGGTTTTGATTATTTCTGAATTGAGCTTTGTATATTCTGTGCTCCCATATTATCCAAAACATAATGTTCATTTAATTTTAGTACAAGTATAAATCCTGCCACTGTGGTTTGCAAACCATGGATTATGGAACCAGATTGATATAATCAAGCAGCTTATTCAGCATATTGAGACTTGGCAATAAATATCTAGTAAAGATGCCTGTGCGTGTAAAAAGTAAAAACATACTTTAAATGCAATGATATATGTAATTTATATACAGGAAGTGGTTGCAGAATCCATCTTAATTTGAGAGTCCCAAGTGGGTCTTATGATGTGCATTGGGGGCTGTATCAGATAGGAAAATGGGAAAAGTAAATGTAGTCAGTGCAGGAAGTGACTATACCTAGGTCCTCTTCTGATATTGAAATCTCATCTATTGAACCCTAATTTACTTGGAAATAAGCTTAAGCAACTTTTTGTGAAACTACAAGCTGGCTGACCATAGAGTGCTCTGACTGGAAGGTGAAGCTGTGAGGCTGAGCAGTTATACTTATGGGCCTATCTTGTAAATTATTTACATGTGTGAAGAAACTGATTATAAATGCACTTGACTAATACAAAGATTTATTTATTATTTACCTTTTCCTCTTTTTATCAGGTGTTGGAGAAAAACCTAATGATGAAGAGAAACAAATAGGTGGATTTGGAAATGGAAGAATTTTTGGAAACAGAGGTATACTGTAAAATTTTCATTTGTCATTTAATAAAAGTTATTGATAGTATTTAGAATTTAATTCAAATGTTTTAGTAATTAAAAAAAATATTCTGTGCATAAAAATATTTTGGAGAAGGGAAAAGGGAACTGATTTCTTAAAGTCTGGGAATGTACATCCGGCAAAAATAGGATACTATTTAGTGCAAATCATAAATTGAGCACATTTTTGCATCTGTACTTAACGTGGTAGGGGTGTATGAAACTGAAAACACTGTTTCAAACATGAAGCATTACATTCCACTGGGTCTGCTGAACTTCTTTCAGATTGGCCACAGTTTGCCTAAACAAATCTGCAGGGATCTTGGACGAGCTTATGGGGTGAGCAGGGCTAGGCTGGTGTATGCCACTCCTCTTCTCTGCATGTCCTGTGTGCTGACCCGCCCCTTTTCTCAGCATCTTCCCTTTCTTGTCTCCCCTCAACTGCACTGATATCACAGTACAGCATGTTCCATTGGCTCACCCATCCTTCCTCTCCTGTCTATCCTCCACTGTTGCCAATGTCCCTGCAGGCCATCGCCAGGGAAACCTATTAATCTTGGCTTTTTTATGCTGCTGCCCCCACTTTTGCATGGAAGAACCATTAGTCCATATATAAAGTAGTTCTGCTTGTGAACACACATTTCATTTTGGTCATTAAACTCATTAAACCAGCTGTTTCTGCATAGAACGTTTTATGCCCAGAATGGTTTATACATCCATATTATGTAATTAATTCCTTCCATTCCATCTGAAACTGGCTTTATTCCCAGTTTTAACTAACATTGTTTTGGTGTACATGGAAAAGAATGTATAATGTAGAAATTGTCTAGAAAAGAAAATATGTCAGAATAAATACATCTGCACAGAAAATAGTTGTGACCTAAGAGAATTAATATACTTAATAGTTAATGGACATTAAGAAGGCAGGAAAAAGGATAATCGATATGGTAGTACTTTGGAAATATTGTTTCTTGTGACTACTTAATTCTTGTACAGTTTGAAAACAGATGGAATATCATTGTTTAACATTCACTATATTAATTTTCTATAGCCATACTAGGAAATAGGTTTGAAGAAAGAAAATACTCAAGTTTTGAGAGAGGTAAGATTGCACATCTGTATCAAGTAATAATTTATAATCCAGCTAACCCTAACCCTCTACTATGAAATAAAATGATTAATTGAATTTTGAATGTCATGAGATAACATGCATCTAATGTTAGAGTTATCACAGCTAAAACAGTAATTAAAATTGAATTCAGGATAATCCATGTTCATTATGATAGGTAGGTATAGTTGTGTTAAATATAGCTATGTTAGCAACCTAAGGAAATACTGTGTTTGCTACGTTGAACTCTGGAGGAAAGACAGGATATCACATGATACTCTGAGCAGTATTTCCCTACTGTGTTGAAGTCTTTATTATTTGATAGAAGAAGTATTTGCCTTTTCTGTAGAGAGCTCAACTTGGTTTCCCCTCATAAGAATTTCCCTCATTTTATCCTGCTCAAATTCATTCTGACCTAAGTTTGGGTCAAGAGAGTCTGCCATTGAGCTTCATGATTGAATGGGAACTTGAACCTAATCTCTCCAGTCCAAGATGGGTACTCAAAGGAATTGTTGGCTAGATGTTCCATCTTGTTAGAAAATTCACTGTTGCTTTTCTTGCTTAACTGGAGACTGAACATTGAGCAAGATTAATTCCATGGTAGGAAGTTGCATTTATTGCTTATCTTAATAAATTGAAATAAATGAAAGTTTTGGAAAATGATTAGAGATGTTAAAAGTACCTGCTAAACCGAAAACTTAATTGTTCCTGTGAAATAAATTTCAGATAATGAAGACAGCCAGAGCCAGTCAAACAAAGGGGATCCAAGGAGAGGTGGTAAGAGTTTCTCCTTTATTAGGTTTGAAACAAACTTTCTTTAAATATATGAGATGTAGAAAATGCATACATTTATTTCTCTAATGTCACCATTTGCACAGTGACTGATGAGTTTTTCTTTCTTTGCTTTTTGGCATACACTTTTGTAGTACATCTGGCACAACTATTTCGTTTCCAATCTAAAATACAGGTAGTCCTTGAGTTACAATGGCAATTGAGACTGGAATTTCTGTCACTAAGTGATGTGGTTGTAAAGTGCAATTGCATCACTTAGTGAAAGCAATCCCTGCAGTCCCAATTGTCACTGTTAACTGAATCCCATGGTTGTTACACGAGGCAACTTCCTGACGACTTCCCACAACCAGTCAGTGGGGAAGCCAGCAGGAAGCTGCAAATCCCAGGCTGGCAGGCAGGTAAGTGGTGCTGCTGGGTGGGGGAGGGAGCAAGGGGATGTGAGGGAGGGTCAGGGAGAGTGTGGAAGAGGCACAGCATGGTGCAAGGAGGGTGCGCGAGGATGTACAAGTGGCTGGTGCGGTGTGAACGCAGAGAGGCTAGGAGGGTGCATGGGTGGGGGAGACTTAACCCAGCAACCTGCGACCTTCCCTGCCGGCTTCCCAAATGACTTTCTGGGGAAGCTGGCAGGGAAGGTTGCAAATGCGATCATATGATCATGGGGGACTTGGCACCTTGTCATAAGTGCAAACGGGTTGCCAAGCACCCAGATTGTGATCATATGTCTGCAGGGATACTGGGATGGCCAGAACTCTGAGGACCAAGTGTAACCACCATTCGTTCAGCACCGTCGTAACTTTGAATGGTCACTGAATGAATGGTCATAGGTTGAGGATTACCTGTATATTATTTCCAGTTTGTTTTCTTGGCTAACTTGTTTTTACGTTTTTACTTAGGAAATTTAGATAATGAACTCTAATTATAAAAACAATCTTTGTGTTAGCATTGCACTTTATTATAATTTTATCTTGCTTTTTCTTTTAAGAAGCTCGCATGTTTTGACTTTGCAATACCCATTTAACACGTTTGGGTGGAAGGTAGTACTTTGTTAAAAATTTGATGGTGTGCCCCCAGGTGGCACTTTTCCACCATATTAGACAGTGGCTGGGTTCACACAACAGACTACAATATGGTGATTGGTGAGTTACCCAGTTGCATAGTTTTGAATAAGGCTTTTAATCATTAACCAGCTACACTGGCTGGATTCTCATGGCATTGCCACAAATTAGATAACCACATTTTAACCAAAAGTACATAAGTACAACTACTGACTTGTTAGCACATTAGAATAGTTTTGAGCTTTTTTAAAATTTAATATCTTTTAAAAATTTAATACTTGGATTCATATTCTGATTTTCATGGTGCTGAAGTCTGTGACTGTAAACTGGTGTCTACAACTACAACTTTATCAGTTAACTTATGTTGTGTTAGAATTAAGCTTCTTTACATTTGGCTTGACATTGTATCTGAAGTGAGCCATTAGTCAGATTCATGCTGTGCATAGCCATAGCTTATAAAGAAGTTACGGAGTCATAGTTTATACATAATGTTAGCCCACAAAGCATGGGTTACAAACTCCAGTTTACAAACGAAACCTGGTTTGGTTACCGTTGTTCCTTTTTGTTTAATTTTCCTCAAAGAAATTATTTTTTCCCCAAATTAGGTTTTCAAGGAATGAATGATGTTGGTGTTCTTCGCAAACCTGGAAGAGGATCATTCAGAGGTGGTAGAGGAGGATTTGGGCAATTTACAAGTAAGTATTAAAATTTGGAATAATTCAGAAATTGGTTGAGCCAAACATTTCTAGAAATGAAAGGAAATTAGTACTGTACCTAAGAAACATTTACAAACAGTAGGCATATATGCCTGCTGAAAAAATAGAAAAATATCGGAATGGACTTTAGTATCTTGATAGTTCTGAGTATTCTTGGAACTTGTTATGTTAGTTTAAATATAGTGAAACAACTTTTCCATGGAGAAATCCAGCACGTAAAATTGAATAAATCTTTGATTATATTATAACAGATGATGTAAATGAGAAGCAAGATGGAAGACAGAATTCTTTCAGCTTAGGTTTTAAAAGAAGAGGGTTTGGTGCTGCATCAGGTAAAAATTCAAGTGAAATTTTATCCCGTTTTTTCATATTCCTTTTGTGATCTGATCTGAATTCCATGCATAAGATTGACAGGTGATGTATTTAAAAATGGAAAGGCGGAGAGGTCATAGATAAACAGAACTTGGAAGCTTTTTGTGAATTTGGAAAGAGAAAACTGGTATTACCCAGATGTTCCACAATTACACTTCTCTCCATCATTGACCATACATTGCCAGAGGCTCTGCCAAAGGAATTAAAGTAGTAGTCCTCAATTTACAACCATTGTTTAGCAACCATTTGAAGTGACGCTAAAAAAAGGGACTTACAACCAGTCCCCAAAGTTATGACTGTTGCAGCACCCCTGCAGTCACGTGATCAAAAATTCAGGCTTTTGGCCGCCTGCCTGCACTTAGGACCACAGGGGTGCTTCAACTACCCCCACCCACCAGTCTTCCCCCATCTATGCTCTTTTGGTGTCCTGTATTCCGTGGCCCCTGCTGCCCTAGCTGAACTTTGCTGTTGCCTTGCTCCTGCTGCTGACCAAGCATGCCTGGCCTGGCCCTTCGCAAAGTAGTTGCTGACCACACAAGGCTTTCTTCCCAAGGTAATGCACAGTGGTTTGCTCACAAGACCTGGGGAAGATGGCCTCCTGTGGCCAGCAGCTGCTTCACAAAGGGCCAGGGCAGGCATGCCTCATCAGCAGCTGAAGCAAGAAGACAGTGAAAGTCAGCTGGGGTGGCACAGTGCAGGGTGGTGAGGGCAACTGCAACTGGGCTGGGGTGGCTGGGGTACCAGGACATGGTGGCTTTGTGCTGTGCTATTGGGGCTTCCTGGGGCATGGTGGCTTTGCACTATGCTGCTGGAGCTTCCTGGGACATGGCAGCTTTGTGCCACGCTGCCAGGGCAGCTGAGGCTTCCAGGGGTGGCTGTGAAGGGCTTCGCTCTGTGGCTCAGGCTTTTTGCAACCCTGGAGCCACGGCACACCCGGAAGCTCCTTTGTGCTGCACTGCTGGGCCAGGCTGGAGCTGAGCTTCATGCTGCACTGTGGCTCAGGGGCTTTTTGCAGCTCCAGAGGCGCAATGCACCAGAAAGCCCCTTTGCACTGCACTGCTGGGCCAGGCTGGGGCTGGGCTTTGCACCACACTGTGGCTCAGGAGCTTTTTGCGGTGCAAAAAGGCGCATCAGGAAGCCCCTTTGAGCGGCT